CATGTTTTCACACGTTGTACACGCTTGTTTCCCTTTTATAGAAAAATGCCAGAAGAAATAGTGTATGATTTATCTTCCACAGATACTTTGGTGTAAAGATGCAGTGCGTGTCACCTGATAGTCTTTTTCCAGCAGGGACTTTCACACTGCATCCTGGGTTCCCCAGGGCAGCAGAGGTTCCACAGGAACTTACTGGATGTTACATTTCTGTTTTTAATTATATCTGGGCACCACTTACAGGTTTTCTGTATCTTTTTAACATATAAATGTATTTATAGTTTGTAAGTATGCTTCAAAATATATGAAGAAGATAAAAGCTTATTGGAGGTAAATAGAAGGGTGCTTCTAATGTGGAATGCTTATTAGTGATTCATCTAAATGACATAAAGTGGCATATTTTTATGTGAGTGAAAGGCAAACAGTGGATGTGGAGTGCCATTCAAATATATAGTGATTGTGAGCTTCAGTGGGTAGTGTGTTAGCTGGATGAAGAGACCTTACGTTGTTCTGGAGGGAAGATGATGATGAGCTACTCGAGAAGCTAGAAAAATGAAATTATTATTGTTTTCCCTTTTGTGCTCATCAGGTGCTCTAACAGAAGAATAGAACTTAATTTCACAGTTATATAACATTTGGCTAAAATCTCTGTAACTGCTTTAGGAAGTCGTATTCATTAGTCACAATAAAGTGGTGGATTCAGTGCTGTCTATAAGTAGCAGCTGCTGCTATTTCTCCAGATGGAGAAAGCTTCCTGTTAAGTTCTTCATTCCAATAGAGTGTGCGCCATACTTGCTCTTTTGCTACAGTGGAGTGGACGCAAATGGTTAGGTGATGGATGCCAGCAGTAATGGATCAGGAGGAGAAGGAATGAAGAGACTGACAGGAGGACAGACCATACCTTGCCTGTATTGATCAGTAATTTTTTCTGACTGATCTTGATATTATTAAAAATACTTCATGGCCGAAGAGAAACTATGAACACTGCTGGAACTATTAGTGGCAAAAAGTTACCTAAAGCACTAACATCTGATCTTCTCAGTTCAGGGAGCAGCAAATTTTTGTCCCTGTGGCTAGCATGCCTCCAGGCCAACTGACTACCCCAGACTAGTTGAGGCTTGGGTTGCAGGTAGCCCATACTCTGAATTTGTGCTTATGGTCCCCAGAATGAACTCTGTACATCCTGTTTTAAGTTCATTGCTAGTATTGGCTGTCACTATATATAGCATTTGCACGGAACAGAATATATAACTTCTCCCATATTTGTTCCTTTCCATTCAGTGCTTTTCCATCAACCCCCTCAGGCTTTTCTCCTCTCAACCTGCTATTAAATACATTGATTTTTCTTCATAGAGCTCCCGTGTGATGACATCTTGTTCATGTGCGTTTTCTGTGGTCACACATGGTTTGATGACTGCTGGTGTGTGAATTACTTTTCATAACTTGCTTCAGAAAGATGTTTAGGAAAAAAAATAAATTACTTAGTAGCCAATAACATTTTTCCTCCCTGTAATTGGGTGTTTGTGGATACAGCAAATGGAGCTTTCCTTATCTTCATGAATTGACTCTTACCTGTTTTAGAACTTCTCTTTTTCCTGGGTTTTTTGATGCTGTTGAAATCTGGTCCAGCATAGCGATAGCTGTGGATAAAGCTGTTTGCCCAATAAGATAGCAGAGAAACAGGACGTCTGTTTCTAAATATTGAGAAGCACAGGAATATGAATTGGAGCTACAAATCAGCTTTTGTGTACATCATTATATGCTATTTGTAAGAAGAATACTTGCAGAGAACTAATATTAAATTCACTGAGCTATTTAGAGGTAAATCTTGCTTATGTATTTCACAGTAGTTCACTAACACGAGTATCGTATACCTTGTTTTAAAATATTGAATCATTGATCCGTAGAGAAGTTGTTCATGGTGTAACTTTTCAATGACCACAAGTCTTCAAAATTAAGACACAGAAACAAGGACAATGTTTTGACTTTTGTATTGTATGAGATATTGCTGTAGACTGTTTTGATGCAGTACAGTGTTTCAGTGTATTTAGTTTTATGGTTCATGAAACAAACAATCTAAATTAAATAATGCAGTTATTAATGTGCAGATCTCTATGCTTAGGCATTACAAAACTGTAGTCATCACACTTGATCCTGCACTCTACTTTATAATTACAGTTTATAACCATTTCCTTGGAATTTCTTGACCAATAGTACAGGAGCTGATGTATTTTGGGTTAACACTACCAGTAAAAAGAATTAAAAAGATCTCTAGCACTGCTGTGGAGGGGTGTGGGAGGGGCAAAGTTTAAAAGTTAGATTTTTATCTTGGAAAAAAGCCTTGTATCTCTCTTAAACTTGTTTCATGAAAAGCTGAAACATTTAAGAGCAAAATCTTTGCTTTCTGGAGAAGCAGAGAGGTGAGCTCTAGCGAAATGTCAGGCTCCCTGGTCTAAGCTGGCATGTTCTCCCAAATTTGTTTTTTGGCCTGCTCCTTAGTTATGTCACTGCTGTTCAAATAAAGCACCACCTGGCAGTCACTTAAGTACATCATTACCCTGATTCATGAAGGAGCTGCATCAAGATTAGAACGCTCTGTTCCCTGCAGGATAAAGTTCTCTGTGAATTTATTACTTTTGTGCTGAGGTACAGTGATATGGGTACTGGCAAGCTAGCCATTGCCTCGTGTAGGAAAACTTCAGTTCACCTGGAGTAGATGAGGATGTTTGCTTTAGATTAAAAATAATAATAACTGAAGAAAACCCAGTACTCTGCATGTTTAGGGCCACAAAATGAGAGTGTCTTACAGTTCACAGGAAAAGATATTTTTTTTGCACAGATCTAACAGTATAAAAATATTCAGTAAATATTTTAACCGAGCTTGAGTTAAAATACAGTTTTCTTGAGCACTTCATAAACTCTTCTGTAAAAATACACACGGTACTTAAATTCTGCAAAATGATTACTGGTTTACTAAGCAAAGGCTTTCAGACTCGGTTGGTCTTTCCCACCTGCATGGAGGAAAAGCACAAGAGTTCTTTGTGCAGGCAAGAGTAGATGCGTTTAGCTGTCACATGAGAGGAAGATGGCAGCTTCTGCTTTTTAGAGAACAAGCACAGATTGTGAAGCCTCCACTGTTGTGTTACATTGTTCATAAATTCAAGTCTAAAAGACTTTCTTTGCATCAGTTGGGCAGTTAATCATGATTATATGAGTAAGTGAAATACTTTGTCATTCTTTAGCTGCTGGGATAGTCTGATAGTGTGTTGGGTATACAAAGTATTCATGCATTCTGTATACAACGTATTCATGCAATTGAGGTGTTCCATGGCAGGAGTTAGTATGAAAAAGAGTAAAAAAGTTGACCCTTTGTACACAACAGATTTTCTTCAGTTTTAAACTTTTAGATATGTTCTCTTTGTTTTTCATGATTTATGATTCATGTTTTGTCTATGTTTCTAGGAAGTAATAGTGTGGAATTCAATGCTGGGACAAAATCACTTTTTGTCATTTGCATTAGTTCTGAAATTAAGCAAGCATTAATGCTTAACCTCTGGGAAAACATACATTCTTAGGTGGATTGCTTTTCTATTTATAAACACTTCTAAGTCTTCAATAGCTAGACAAGGTTCTGAATGTCTAAAATCAGTTAGTAATAGTAGGTTTAGATGTCGCTTAAAGGAAGATTTTTTGTTTACAGTATCCATCTGCTTTTTACGTTACAGCACTGAACAGGAAGTGTCATTTCCTGCCTCAGAATACTTTGTTTCCTTTGTCTCTACAATGAGAGAAAAAAATAATTAACAGGAGTACTCCTTTTGACCAGCAAAAACATTTAATTTTTCTAAGTAGAGATTTGTGACAAATGAACCTTAATAATACATAGGAATTCTAACTTAAACATCATCTTACTGCAATACATGTTAAATGCATTGTAGGTCATCATACAGTATGTAAACGTAGTTTTCAACTGCATAGCTAAATGTTTTGGAAGACTGCATGCATGAAAGCAACTACTGTAACTAGATTACTATATAGCCCTGTCTTCCACTTTTAGTTGTGATTTTATTTTTGAAATAAAATTTCATTCTGGGAAGTGGCTTCATGAATGAAGCTTGCTTAAAGACAGCTAACTTTAAGAAAATGGTTGGGAGTTCATGTGCTGCTACTTAAGAATGTGATTTTCTTGGTGATGTAGCAGATAGCTCAACAGAATCAGGAAATCGTCCAGACTATTCACATTTGTTTTTCAGTGTCTAACTACTTTTTTTTTTTTCCCTTCTTGCCAGCAATCACAAGCAATTACTTTGATCTAGGTCAAAAAAGTACAAGCCCAGATGGATTACACTTTTATTTTACAGATACCAACTTGCTGTGAATTTTGCTATAATTAAAACTGACTTGAGGAGCTTTTGAGTCATCAGTCACTCAGAAAGCAACTTTCAAGGCCACTAGCCTTACTTTCATTTCTGTGTCTAGTTTAAACATACTTACTGTGTACTAGTTTACAAGTCCTCTTTATTGAGGAAGAGTTCATGTATATGAAGAGACACTACTATGTATGTAGTTTCATGGTTGTCTACCCTGTGAAGATGAAAAATTTTCACAATTAATTTATATTCATTTAATAAATTGTTTTAAAGTATAGATTGCAAGCTTTGAATTGCCAAGGAATACATGAACCATCCTTTTTGGTGAATGACATGACCTATAGGGCAATTTTTGAATTTGTTTAATATTTGCCAAGACCTTCGTTTTTACTGGGTGCCCAACATTACAAGCAGTACCCACATTTTAAGGAAATAACTCTCAAAACAGGTATGCTGCAAATAGTAGACTGCAAATTAGTTATAACTCTTAAAAGGCTTGCTGCGGTCAGTTGGAAGTAAAGCTTTAGCAGCTGCATCGTAAGAAGAATAGGATGGCACAAAGTTTAAGCCATATTAATATACTTTAATATCAATTGTGTTTCACTATATTTTTTTTTTCTTTGATGTAGTCGTGACATGGAGAATAAAGAAACCCTCAGGGGACTGCAGAAGATGGATGACCGCCCAGAAGAGCGTATGATCAGGGAGAAACTTAAGGCAACATGTATGCCAGCCTGGAAGCATGAATGGTTGGAAAGAAGAAGCAGGAGGGGACCTGTGGTAAGTGCAGCTATGGAAGGCCAATACCTGTAAACAGCTATTAGAAATAAAAAAAATATATGTTTTCTATTACAAGCTTCTAATTACAGTCCATTTTTAAGATGAGCTGCTTAGCAGGAAGCTCTGGCTGACTTTCTGAAGTGTACGCATTCACTAAGCTTTAAGAAAAAGGCATATAGCTGTGCTGCCCATTAGGTGCAGTATAAAATACTACTGTGACAACACTGCCATCTACTGTCAACAACAGAAATAGCGCCTGTTCTTTAAGTAGAAACCCACCCTAGTACTTGTACTCCCTTGATTCTTAAGGGTTTCATGTCTTCACTTCTCCTTAGGTGGAAAACGTTAGTTTTCTGTGTATCGCAACAAATGTATCAATTTTTTTGCTTACATGAAAAAGCAAACTTACTAGAACCAGAAAAAAAAACCAAAAACGAACAAAAAAACCACCAAAGCTGAATAACTACTTCACACAAGTTTCAACTCTAAGCTTTGGTTGCCAGAGTATTCTATCAGCATTTTGAGTAAAGCTTTTATAAAAGTGGCTTGGAAGTGGTTTTAAGAAATTGCAGGCAGAACGAACGTGAAACTTATTAAGCATAGTTGCAATTCTCTTCAGTGTAATGCTGGTTTATTAATAGCCCTAAGTTACCTATAAGTGTAATTGGATGTGTTGGTGTGAATCCCGTGTACCATGCACTGCTTTTTAAACTTATTTATACTGCTATCTGATTACAAAAGTGAACAGGATATTTTACAAAAGTAGCAACAAAGATTTCTGAGAAGTTCAGGTTTTCAATACATTAAGTATCGTGATTTCATAGTCAAATGACCTGTGCTGTTGGATCAAGGCTGTAAATGCAGTGTCTAACTGCTGGACTTCAACCTCCTAATTGTCCTCTTCTCCCTGTAGCCTGCTGAAACTGAAATGCATTTCTGGATAGTGGAATAGCTTCAGCTGGTCGAATTAAATGCTTCAGTTTAAAATAGCATTTTGACCTTCTGGATGGCAGTCTAAATCATCAGGTAGAAAGGCACTGAGTCTTGGATGTCTTTTCTTCCCCATACCCTGAGGAGGGCAAGCCCCTTCCATTTTTTGCCTAAATCAGAGACTTCTGGAAGTTTCTGGGAGAGGTCTGCTCTGTTAATCTGGAGTGTTATTTGGACCTTCCTTCTCACTTTGAGTCAAACCTCTAAGACATGGAGAAATGTAGAACTACAACTGAATTTGTCCGCTGCAGCCAGTTTTAATTTGATTCCCAGGGGCCCTACTCTTCTCAGGGTTTATGTGGGTCTGAGATGCAGGCAGCTGAAAGTTTCTTGAAGTACTCCATACTTCAGTGTTCATGCAACAAAGCACTACACTGGAACAACTCACTCCACTTGAGCACATGTCTATTCATGTGGTGCAGCGCTGTGCACAGTGATCAGCTGAGATACCAGATGTGCTGTAGCTGTTTCACTTGTATGGCAGGCAGAAAACTCAGGTTTGGTTCATATAGAGCACTGCACACCTTAATTTTGCTGTGTTGCCTCTAGGTTTAAAGCAATTTTTACTTTGCCACAAGTGTTGTGCTGTGGAAATAACAACCCTAGTATTTCTCAACTGATACTGTATAACAGTAGAACAGATGGATCTAATGTGATAGCTCCTAAATAGCAGGCAGTGCCTGTAAGGAAAAAAAAATATGGCCTCTACTATCCAAATGAAGGAACTGCTGTCCTTTGAAATACCATGAATAACAGTTGGAGAAGTACTTTGAGAATCAAGTCACGTACTGCCACAACTGACGTAAGTGGTACAAATGGACATGAGAAAGGGTTCTCAGTTGTGTTGCATGTAGATTAACAAGATAACCCTTGTTAGATGTTAATATTAGAAGCTAAGGATTATACAGACTTCAGATGTCTGGATAACGGCTTAATCATATAGTGGTGGCAAAAAACGGTTTGATGAATTGTGTTGATTTAATGTGAAATGATCAACTGATAATTCTAACACATGGTTTAATTCCTACAAGGTGGTGAAACCTATTCCTGGGAAAGGGGATGGATTGGAATCGAACAAAATCTCTCTAGAACCTCAAGTTGAAGGACAAAGCACTGCTACTTCACCTACGCAGAAAGGAAGACGTAGTCCTTCTCCTAGTAGCTCTTCTTCATCATCTTCAAGGACAGTTAAATCTGAATCACCAGGTGTTAGAAGAAAAAGGGTATCTCCAGTGCCTGTAAGTTGCAAGCTGTGGTGTGATTTTTAGTTTGGCTGTGTTCTGCAATATTTTTGCTTATCGAGGCAACAAATTCTCCTTGCTTAAGGCAAAATACTGATACGAAGGTGTTATGACAGAGTATCACTTGAGTGGCATATGCAGAGCTTATTTCTCATGTGGAATTTTTTTCTTTTACTCTTAGGTCTGTGTTTTCTTTTCAGTTTCAGTCCTGCTTTCAATTTTTATTTCTAGAAAATGGAGAAACTCAGTTGTGAAGACATGTATATTCTCATAGCACCTCTTCATGGCAATCAAGCTAGTAGTTTAGGGGTTTTTTTTCCTGTAGTTATGCATGTCGGTTATTCAGATGGATATGTTCTGTTGGGGATAGGTTTGTTGACTGGATTAAGTTTCCTGCAGACAAGTATTACTGGTATTTATGATCCTCTATTCCAGAACTAGTCTATACACATACTAGTGAAGATTTGGTTATGTGCATTGTAAAGTGATTACAATCTCTATCATTACACTTGAGAAGATCTTGAATAGTGTTAAGCAATAGGAACTGACTTTATTGAAATTAAGAATATAATGATTTGAGCAGTAGTGTCTTATAGGTTTGCTTCTTATAAAAATGCTCATCCACAGTTAAGCTTTAGTTGACTTGTCTACAATTTCATAGTAGAATTACAGTAAGTTTAATATATAATTGCTTTTATTGTCCCATTACTCTGCAGGTTTACAAAATAAATTATGTACTGCCATTCCTGTGAACTAGGAATAAATATCACAAGCTACAGCACTGCAGTACAGCTCCTTTCTTCTTTACAAGAGAAAATAAAAGATTGAAAACAAACAAACAAAAAAACAAGCCTAAAGTGGATATAAATCAGAGCACAAGATTTGAAATTAGACAGAGCCATTATTGCATCTCAGTGCTACAAATGTGAAAAATTTAGCTGAAGACAATTTTAAGAAAAGGTTTGCACCACTGAATTTTTGATCATGGGGAAACAAAACAAAATTCTTAGCTGAGAGCTGCTTTAGTTTTGTGAAAGAGAGGAAGTTGTATCCTTTTCCTTTTCTGTGAAATTCCTTTAAGTTCAGTGACCATACTCCCTTTTATAAACTGTAGTCACAGGATTTCTTCATTTTTGAAATATATTAGTGTTATAACCGTGTATAATAACTTGATGTACTGAGTCAGAAGTCCATGGTTTGTTCTGATTGAATTATACTGGATAATTCAGTAGTAATATGGTAAGGCAACCGATGAAGACTTGAAAAGAAAAGCAATTGATAAGATTCCTTTTCTATCATAATGTCAGAAAAAATATCAATTTTTCTTCTGCTCTTGAGTTCTGGGCATGGAAGAAAAAGTATTCTTTTTTTAAAGTCTAGGCAGTTTGTAGTAGTTTCAGGTATTGGGGGACTCTTTTGGAAGAAGAAAATAAAACAAAGACACAAAACAAACAAACCAACCACATAAAACAAACCGCTAATTAGATTTACTGTTGTTCTGGAACTTCTCATGATGGAACCACTTATGTAGTTTCAGAGTGGACGAATAACACCACCTCGACGAGCCCCATCTCCAGATGGCTTCTCTCCATACAGCCCTGAGGAAACAAATCGTCGTGTCAACAAAGTTATGCGAGCCAGGCTGTACTTGCTGCAGCAGATAGGACCAAACTCTTTCTTAATTGGAGGAGATAGCCCTGATAATAAATACAGAGTGTTTATTGGGCCTCAGGTACAGAATGTTGTTTGATTTTTATTTTTTTTTCCCTGTAGCTTTTATTAATTCATACTTAATCTTGGAAAACTTGTTCAAAATCAAATTAGATCAAGTTAGTCACCAACCTGTGATAATGGTTCTGTAATGTGTAACAGTTTTAATCTGTGCTCATGTAATCTAATGATCAGCTTGTATTTTTTTAAATATGTAGCAAGTATATTAGTTTTGCCTAAAGTTTCTCCTTATCAAGAAGTAGTTTGGAAGTAATTACTGTTGTCCTGTCTTTCTCATTCCTAGAAGTGGCTCTGAATTATATATCTTAAGTATTTTTGGCTGAAATCTGGCCACTTCATTTTCCTAGTTTCTCACTTTGCAACACTTTTATTTCACGGGCTGTATATAAATGACAAGCACATGACACAATTCCTTTAATGTTGTGATGATTTCATTAATACTCACAGTGAGGTAATTTTCGTAGACTTTCATAGTACTAATGTGATGTTGCATTGGGGAATATCTAGGTTTTTGACTAAACAGAAGCATCTCATTGAAGTTTGATTGCTGATATGTTGTAGAAATATAATGACTGTGTGCATAAATTCCTCCTAGTATGGAGTGTAGCAATAGCTTCAGTTGGCTTTAAAAAAATTGTAAAACTGGGGGGAAAATCAGTTGAAAACTGGTCTAATAATTGCCTACTTTATGTCTTTATGAAATATTTTCCATAAACTGCTTTTTTGGGGAGGGGAGGAAGGGACAAGTAGTGTATGCTCTATGATGCACTTAAATATGGAAGAATTATTTATGTAATTCTCAATTCAGTAGAGCCTTTTTATTTGCAGACTTGTAGCTGTGGCCGTGGGACGTTTTGTATTCATCTGCTGTTTGTCATGCTACGGGTGTTCCAGCTTGAACCCTCAGACCCAATGCTCTGGAGAAAGACACTGAAGAACTTTGAGGTAATCAATTTCTAATAGATCTAGTGACAGATCTAAGATACACTCCAGTTAAAAGGTTTTAAAACATTATCTTAAAAATACTGTAATCTGTTGCTTTTCAAAGCAATGAGAATACATGCTCATAATATATCCTTAATCCAGTCTCAAGAACTCTGCAAATAGAAGAAAAAATCGCTGCAACTAAAACTACTAAAAGAATAGTAGAGAGCTGTAGTTTAGGTTGTAATTCGGATCTCAGCTCTTCTACTCAAATTTATCTGTCTCGCTGATTAACTGAAAGGGAAACAGAACAAGGGCCTTCAGAAGTAATGTGTATACTTAAAGCTGATATTTATTTTTAATAAGCAAATAAGTTTTTGTTGTAAAGTGTTCCTTGTGATCTGTTTAGTAGTAAGAATTATGAAACACCTGCTGCTGCTACTGCTAATGCATTATGATGAAGGTGAATAGATCTTTTTTTTTAGCAGTAGTTAAGGTTCAGTAATATCACTTTTAATTACAAGGTCTTCATAGCATAAATGCGACTGTTGCTATCTTTTTCTGATGTTAGGTTGAGAGTTTGTTCCAGAAATATCACAGTAGGCGTAGCTCGAGGATCAAAGCTCCATCTCGTAACACCATCCAGAAGTTTGTCTCACGCATGTCAAATTCTCATACATTGTCATCATCTAGTACTTCTACATCTAGTTCAGAAAACAGGTTAGTATTTTTCTAAAGGATTTTAAAACTTTATTCTGTAGTTTTCTTCTAATTTTGGAGGTTTAGAATCACCTACATTCTTTTTGTTCAAAGCTGCTTTCATTTCAAGCACATTAAGTCTCTGTATTTGCAAATAATCGAGTGAAGCCTACATTAATCACTAATACCAAGTGGACATACTTGCTATATAATTTCTGTTCGAAAAATGTTAAGAGTTGTGAAAAGAATCTTTTTGACCCTTTATGAATTTGGGAAACAAACATTTGAAATATAAGTGCAAGACTGAAGCATATATTTGTAAACCTACTTGTGTGCATTTGCTCAAAAACAGTGCTTGTGTCAATGTTGATAAATGAAGAAACATGACTCCTCTTTTTCTCTTGTCCTGCTTTGGAGAAATGCTTGTGCCTGTGACACTGTACTGAAAATTCTGGGGCATAAATTCACTCAGCATATAGTTAAAAAAACACTTAATATAAAATGGGAGATTAAATTCTTGTATAGGAGCTGTTAAACTATTATGATTTTTTTTATAGTTTACATAATAACTTATTTATTGTTTTTAAGTGTTTGATTCTTTGATTTAATTTTTTCACCTGACTTCTGCAACTACAGTGCTTTTGCATACTATTTCCCTTTTCAAAAGATCATTGTAAATAAATTGCATAAACAAAGCAGTAAAATACATAACCTACTCTGCAAATACTTACCTAGCAAGCAATATAGATGCCTTACGTAAGAAAATAATTATTATTTTTTCATAGAATTGGCTTCATTGGATAGTGAATTTCACTGCATTAGTTGTAATTATTTAAAGGATGAAAGATTTTTTTTCAGTTTTTTGCCAGTACACCTGTATATTAGTTTGTAGCATTACTGGTTCAATGAGATAAGTTGCTGTTTTGTGCAAGTCTAATCTTACTTGATGTACGTATTGGAGAACACTAAGCACCAGATTGACATGAGATAAAATTTACTCAATTTTGACAATTACTGTGACTTGCAATTATTTTTTGTCTTGTACCAGTTCTTCAAAAATAAGTTTTAATTTAATGCTTAATGTTTCTATATGTGCTGTGGAAATTAAATTTTCACTGTACCTTTTTTGTGGATTTTTTCAAAGGGAGGAAATAATCATTTGCAAGGAAATAGAAGTGAATATATGTGTGTAGATATATTGTATGTTGGGAGGGAATAAATACAGGGTTCCTGCAAACTTCTAGACACACCAGATATAACTTAAATTTTTGCTATGAACAGTAAGAGTTCTGCACATTCAAACAACATTACAGAAGATGAAAATTTATGGCTTTCACTGTGTTGTTTAAATTCAGAATAATTTTTGTGGTTATATCTATTTAAAACTTAACATGGGGGTGAATAAACATAAAACAAGGACATTTTTTTCCTTTAAATCTGCATTGTGCATGTAGGTATGTTAGTGTTCATGTGAATCTGTTGCATCTGTTAATGGCAGAAAATTCTTGAGTGGCTGTTATCTTCTGTTGATTTGTTGAGTTTTATATGTGTTCCTCAAATAGTACTTAGAGTTTCCTGTAATGGGCTAAAGACTACCTTGTGACCCGATGCTCTGAAAGGAGTGTGATGGAAAAAATGTGTGGGTAACTTTCAAAATACAAACATTCCTTAGTTTTTCAGAACCAAATGATAAGTATAAAAGCAGAGATTGGTTTGATTAAAGAAGCCTTAGGGGAAAAAATGTAAGTGCCCAAGGCTGGGCCTTTCAATCTCTAATTGGTATCTGACCTAGTTTGAAAATATGTCATGTGTTTTGTGACTTTCCCTTTCATTTCAACAAAGTGTTGTCTGTACTCAGTGCTTCTGAAAATTTGGTTGCTGACTTATTCAGACCAAGGTTTAGGAGAATGATTTATGAATAGCCTATAGTTATTCAGAAGTGACTGTTCCAAACTGCAAGCTTGCACTGTTAAAGCCTCTTCTGAATTCTCATAGGCAATCTTCACAATCACAAATATCTGTTTTTATAGTATGAAGGATGAAGAAGAACAGATGTGCCCCATTTGTTTGTTAGGCATGCTGGATGAAGAGAGCCTAACTGTGTGTGAAGATGGCTGCAGGAACAAGTTACACCACCACTGCATGTCAATATGTATGTTGTCATCTTTGTCTTCCTAAGTTCTGGTGACTCTAAGTATGCATAAGTATTATAACTTAGTATGTTTTCATTAAGTATTTTGTTTGACTTAAAAGTAAAAAAATCCCAGAAACCTCCTCTTGAGTGATGACTGGTACCTGTTTGTGAAAGTTTGGTGTCATTCAGGTACTATTCATATCCCTTATTAATTATTCACATATCAAGTTTGTAATTTCATGCTTTGAGAAAGAATTTAATTGCAAGGCAAGAGATTTAAGCCTCTTTTAGCGGAGTGAAAAGATTATGTCCAATTAGAGCAAGGTTAGGAACAGACCTTTAGCCCCTGTGATTTGTCATTATAACACACAAAACTAGGATTATATAGTGAAGTGCAGGCTCTGCTTACATACTACATTCAACAAAGTACATAAATAGTTAAAGTTTGCTTTAAAAAATAAAATTCCATCTCCCACATTTTAATACTTTTGAAAAAGTATTGCCTGTGTTTGAAGTTCAAAAGGAACTGCATTTCAGTTCTTAACTTTTAGTATTAATTGTAGTGCTAAGATGAAGCATTTCTGTGTCCAAAAAAAAAAAGCATAAATGCTCATATTTATCAGGCTGATGCAGATGGCTAAATTCAGAAGTATTCATCCTGAAACTAACATTCTTCAGTAAAACTTAAAAGTAGTAATGCCATCTTCTGGTTTTATATACTATAAATCTGAGGTATGTATTATCCTGTTGCTGTGTTGCAGGGGCAGAAGAATGCAGAAGAAACAGAGAGCCACTTATCTGTCCTCTTTGTAGATCTAAGTGGAGATCTCATGATTTCTATAGGTAAGGATTCAGTCCATGTATAACCAGCTGTTTCTGGATCCTTAGCTGATGTTTCTAAATATGCCAGAGCATTTACTTCAGTAAATGTTGCCTATGTTAATCCATGTTATTTGTTGTTAATCTTCAGTCATGAATTGTCAAGCCCTGTGGATTCTTCTGTTCTCCGTGTGGTTCAGCAACAACAATCTATAGCTGGATCACAGAGAAGAACCCAAGACAGCAACTTTAACCTTACTCATTACGGGGTCCAGCACATTCCTTCTGCCTACAAAGATTTAGCTGAGCCGTGGATTCAGGTGACTTCACTTTGTAAAAGAAGCTTCAGATGTAAAAACTGATTTTGAACTGTTTTGCTGGAATTATCAGATCAACAATTCACAAATTTATTCTGAATTTCATCAGCTTCATAGTTGATTGTTATTGGAAATAATTATATTTAACTTGCATTGGAAGAGAAGGTTTGCCAGTCTTGTTTTAACTGGGGTTTTAGTTCTGAATTTCATCTTATGCCTCATTCTGAAGGCCTGTGTAATAAAATGTATTACTCCTAAATCTAGTTTTGGTTGTGCAAGCGTTTGGATAAATACAAAGTTGGCACTTTTTGTTACCCAAGTTGTGCTGCAGGAGCCAAATGACCTAAATAACCTCTGGAGTCTAGAGGTGGATTCAACTCAAAAGGTGACACACTTAAAAGTGGGAGAACTTGTATTGCCTATATTTCTGCTGTAATCTTTGTCTGGTATAGTGAGACCTTAGTTACAGGCCTGCTTATATCACTATCTAGAAACAAACTCCACCAGGAGTAATTCAAAGTGAATGGAGCCATATACATACAGTCATCCTTCTGTTTCGCTTAACAGAGTTTTTTAAGAACCAGTGACTTATCATTTGTAATGTTTCATTTCTATCAGAGAATCTTTTTTTTAAGACACTGTACCAGCTGACACATTTTTGCTGTCAGACTTCTTAAGGTGATTTTTCACCAGAGAAATTTCTTTGCTCTTTTTGATTGTTGTTCTTAGGTACTTAATCATAGAATGTTAAGTTGAAGTATTACTTAGTTTAACTCCTGTAACATTGCTTTTTCCTTGGCAGGTGTTTGGAATGGAGCTAGTTGGCTGCTTGTTTTCTCGAAACTGGAATATACGAGAGATGGCACTTAGACGTCTTTCCCATGATGTTAGTGCTGCTCTGTTACTGGCTAATGGTGAAAGCACTGGAAATTCTGGAAGTAGCAATGGAAACAACACAAGTGCTGGAGCTCTGGGAGCAGCTAGTGGGTCATCTCAGACCAGTATCTCAGGAGATGTGGTGGTGGAATCCTGCTGCAGTGTGCTGTCCATGGTCTGTGCTGACCCTGTCTACAAAGTGTATGTTGCTGCTTTAGTAAGTAACTGTTTACTTGTTGTATTCCACTCTTTCAAAATTACTTCATTTTTGAAGGGGAAGGAAAGGGAGAAAATATATGAAGTCAGGAATCCTAGTAATTCTTGTTGAGCACAACCGATGACTTAACTTCTCACCATCGTCTGAAATTGAGATAAACAAAAACCTCAGCAAGAGGTGTCATGACAGCAGTGTTGAGGTGTAAGCAAATGCTTGCTGCCGTGCTCAGTATTAACAGTACTTGCATGCCTAGCTAAGAACCTAACCACTCTTAAAGAACATATGACAAATTCTAACACTGGATATGTAGCAAGCTATTTAGCCTTTGAACATTTCACTGGTGTTTTGAATACAATTTATATAAACCTATTTATGACTTTTAAAAAAGAAGTTGTAGCTAGTTTGATTTCACATGTACTGTTTTTTTCTTTTTGCTTAGAAAACTTTAAGAGCCATGCTGGTGTATACCCCCTGTCATACTTTGGCAGAGAGGACTAAACTACAGCGACTTCTCAAGCCAGTTGTAGAGACGATATTAGTTAAATGTGCAGATGCCAACAGGTATGGTATCTTGTGAACTTCAAATTCTTTTTGGATTGTTACTGAAATATCTTGAAGCTCTGTTTCCTTCTATTTATGTGGAGAACACTTATAGTTGGTGAGGTAAAATGTGTGGATCATAAGTAGAAATACATCATGTTTTTGTTGGTCTAATTGCTACCAACAGACTTCTGGCTTGAATGACATAGGTTTTGAAGGCACCTGATTGTATTTTTCCAATGCTTACAGATTTTAAGTGATACTTTGCTTTTCATAAGGCCTTTTTACCTCCACTTTAAAATGAAGGAAGATGTTAGGTACAATCATCAACCACTTCCCCCCATCTCAAGTTGATATTGCTTTGGTCTAATTTTCATCACTTGCCTTTAAGAAGTCAGCAAGTACCAATTTTTTTTAATTTTTTTTTTACTTCAGCAAAAGCTGTTGTGCATCTGTGCCATGAATTGTTAACATAACACTTCAACTTTTTATTTCAGTGTGCCTTGTTAGCAAATGACTATTATGAGTGAATGTCCTTGGCATTTCTGGTTTGAGTAGGCCTTATCTTCCTGACCCTAGCCTACCCCTTTTGTTCTGCCAGACCCACCATTTCTTCACCTGTACTGTAAACTAAATGCCGAAGTCCACCATCTTGATTTTTGTCTCTTTAGGTTCAGTTCCTAAGCAGCATTTCTGAAACTTTAATTTCTTTAAATACATCAATGAAAAAAAAAGAAGGGTAGGGAAAAAGTGGGTCTACTGTGGATATGATAACAGTGGGCGGCGGATATTATAACAGAGGATGCAAAGATGGCAGAACTACTGAATGCCTTCTTTACCTCCTTTACTCCTAAGGCCAGCCCTCAGGAATTTCAGTCCCTAGAAGTAAGGGAGCAGAATTGGAGTGAGGATGATTCTCCACTGGTCAGTGAGGATTTGGTTAGAGAACTATTACAAAAACTGAAAACACACAAATCCATGGACTCCGACGGGCTGCGTCTGCCTGTGCTGAGAGAGTTGGGTGATGCTGTGGCTGAGCCACTCTCCATCTTGGAAAAATCATGGAGAACAGGAGGGGTGCCTGAGGACTGGAAGAAAGCCAGTATCACTCCAGTCTTCAGAAAGGACAAGAAGGAGGACCCTGGCAACTACAAGCCAGTCAACCTCACCTCCATCCCTGGCAATAAGATGCAGTGGCTCATTCTGAAGGCCATCTCTAATCAATTGGAAGAAAAGAAAGTTATCAGGAGTAGCCAGCATGGATTTACCAAGGGGAAGTCTTGCCTGACTAATCTGATATCCTTCTGTGAAGGTGTGAAAAAATGGATTAATGAAGGGAGATTGGTGGATGTCATATACCTTGACTCCAGTAAGGCTTTCAATACTGTTCCACAAAACATCCTTGTAGGTAAACTCAAGGAATGTGAGATAGATGATTGGACTGTGAGGTGGATTGCGAACTGGCTCAGCAACAGAGTTCAGAGGGTTGTGACCAGTGGCACAGAGTCAAGCTGGAGGCCTGTGGCCAGTGGTGTTCCCCAGGGATCAGTGCTGGGTCCAGTTTCGTTCAATATCTTCATCAGTGACCTGGATGAGGGGATAGAGTGCACCCTCAGCAAGTTCACTGATGATACGAAACTGGGAGGGGTGACTGACACACAGCAAGGCTGTGCTGCCGTCCAACGGGATCTGGACAGGCTGGAGAGCTGGGCAAAGGGGAACCTCATGAAGTTCAATAAGGACACATGTAGAGTCCTGCATCTGGGGAGGAATAACACCAGGCACCAGTACAGACTAGGGGACGTCCTGCTGGAAAGCAGCTCCATGGAGAAAGGCCTTGGAGTCCTAGTGGACAGTGAGTTGTCCCTGAGACAGCAATGTGCCCTTGTGGCCAAGAGGGCCAATGGGATTCTGGGGGGCATTAAGAAAAGTGTCCAGCAGGTCTAGGGAAGTTCTCCTCCCCCTCTACTCTGCCCTGGTGAGACCACACCTGGAACACTGTGTCCATTTTTGGGCTCCCCAGTTCAGGAGAGACAGGGACCTACTGGAGAGAGTCCAACGGAGAGCTACGAGGATGATTAAGGGACTTGAGCATCTCTCCTGTGAAGAGAGACTGAGAGAACTGGGGCTGTTTAGCCTTGAAAGGAGAGAGCTGAGAGGGGATCTTATTGACATACAGAAATATGTATGTCAAGAGGAAGGGGACAGTCTCTTCTCAGTGGTGCCCAGCAATAGAAGAAAGAAAAATGGGTTTAAGTCAGAATACAGCAAGTTCCATCTCAACATGAGGAGCAACTTCTTTCCTGTGAGGGTGACAGAGCCCTGGCACAGGCTGCCCAGGGAGGTTGTGGAGTCTCCTTCTCTGGAGACATTCAAAACCCGCCTGGACGTGTTTCTGTGTGACCTGCTGTAGGTGATCCTGCTCTGGCAGGGAGGTTGGACTAGATGATTTCCAAGGTCCCTTCGAACCCCTGACATTCTGTGATTCTAACTGCAGCTAGAAACAGAGTTGCCCCATCAGTACTCTAGCAATAGCATGTCTAAAGGTAAAGGAATAACTGAAATAGAACTGTTCCTTATGTTGCTGGATTCTTGGATTTGGCTTGTTTTTGCAAGAAGACGGGATCCTGTTTGGATTTTTGTTTGCTTATTAGTAGTAGACACTTTCCTGGAAGTGTCCTCATAAAAAAACCATCACAACCGTTGGTAGATAACGGGTAGAAGATTATAGAAATGTGTTGGAATTAAGTGAAGTCATTTTCCACATGCAATTCCATGCTAGTGATTATTGAAATGTAATGATTAGAAGGTCTTTTCTTGAAAGCGTTTGCTAAAAGTGGTTTTTTTGTTTTAATTTCTTACAGTCGAACAAGTCAACTTTCAGTCTCAACACTATTGGAGATGTGTAAAGGTCAAGCAGGCGAGCTGGTAGTTGGAAGAGAAATACTTAAATCTGGTAATAAAGGCTCTTAATGTATGATTGAATTATAACTACAAGCAAAAATACTGAAATATTTTTAGTACAGGATTTATCCAATATCAGCTTGGCATAGAGAACAATATTTCTCTCAGCAGTTTGGGAGGGGCTAATTTGGGTACACAGTGTGGATTTCTGTATGATACTGTTCTGATCTTTATCTAAATTGTGAACATATCTAATTCTTATGAACTTTTTTTTTATAGGGTCCATTGGTATTGGTGGTGTTGATTATGTCTTAAATTGTATTCTCGGAACACAAACTGAATCTAGCAACTGGCAAGCGCTACTGGGGCGACTTTGTTTAATAGACAGACTTTTGTTGGAGTTTCCTGGGGAATTTTTTCCCCACATTGTCTCTGGGGATATTTCACAGGCTGATACCGTAGTAGACAGGTACTTGCTTTTACTGTGTGACTAATACTTTTCATAGTTGTATGTGTTATGATTTTTTTAAAAAAATAATTGTAATTTCTGTAAACATATACTGTATATTTATATGCAAAAGCATGCCCATTTCACAGAGTAAATTGTTGCCTTTTAAAAAAACTTCTGACCTGTTAATCAGTTTTGAAGCTCCAGTGCAGCAATGTCTCCTTTCTGCTGCAGAACTGACAGCTAAATATATTATCTCAAAATGGCTTTCTTGGCACTAGTTAATTAGGGCCTACTAGTGTATAAAACACTTCTTTTCTTTTTTTAGGTATAAGAAACTTCTCTCGCTGTTAACTTTCGCCTTGCAGTCAATTGACAATTCCCACTCAATGGTTGGTAAACTATCACGGAGAGTATTTTTGAGTGCAGCAAGAATGGTGGCAAGAGTGCCTCATGTTTTTGTAAAGCTGTTAGAAATGCTGAGTGTGACAAGCTCAACTCATTATGCAAGGATGCGTCGACGTCTGATGGCAATAGCAGATGAAATGGAAATTGCAGAAGCCATCCAGCTAGGCATGGAAGAATTGCACTCTGGGGATTGTCGACATGAAGACTTCTTGCAGCTGCCTGTACCAGATAACTCTCCAGAAGCTACAGAAAGTAATACTCCTAACAATACTGTCCAGTTATCAGGGAAAAGTGGGAAAGGTTTAAGTGATAAAAAACCAAGTGCCGGTCCAGAGGACATTGCTGAGGCACTGGCTGGCCTTGCTGTGGGAGTTCCTGTTTCATCAATAACCACTGAGCAACCAAAGCCAGCCATTCAAACTAAAGGAAAACCCCACAGTCAGTGTTTGAACTCTCCTCCCTCGTCCAGTCATTCCCAGTCACTATTCCCAATGCTTCCGTCTCCTTCAAACTCATCTGTACCAGCTGGCACTGTAACAGATGTCTCTAAACCCAGACCTCAGGGATTCATTCCCTGCAAAATCCCCTTGCCTTCTCCTCAAACACAGCGGAAACTTTCTCTCCAGTTTCAGAGAAACGGTTCTGAAAATAAAGAAGCAGAGAAACTTTCTCCAGTTTTTACCCAAGCCAGGCCATTGCCATCCAGTCACATACACAGGCCAAAGCCATCACGACCAACCCCAAGTGATGCAAGTAAGCAGGGAGAAACATTAAAAAACAGTATGACGCTTGACCTGAGTGATATTTCACAGTGTCATGGCAATAGTAGTAGTAGCAGTGCAGTTATACCAAGTGAGGAAACAGTGTTCACACCAGTAGATGAAAACTGTCAATTGGATGTTAATGCGGAGCTCAATTCCAGTATTGAGGACCTTCTCGAGGCCTCCATGCCAACGAGTGATGGCACAGTTACATTCAAGTCTGAAGTTGCAGTTCTTTCTCCGGAGCGGGCAGAAAATGATGATACGTACAAAGATGATGTAAATCATAATCAAAAATGCAAGGAGAAGATGGAAGCTGAAGAGGAAGAAGCTTTAGCTATTGCTATGGCAATGTCAGCGTCTCAAGATGCCCTGCCAGTAATTCCCCAGCTACAGGTTGAAAATGGTGAAGATATCATAATCATTCAGAAGGATGTAAGTATATATATGGGAATTTAGCAAAAGTCTCAGTTGATGTTTATAGAAATAAAACAGCACTGCTTTGAAAATTCAAAAGTTATATAAAACAGAGATGCTCAATAGCTTCTCCTAGGAGTTGGAATATAAAGAATTTGCCAGTTGATGGTGCTAACAAAATTCTTCTGTGATTATTAACAAGTTTAGAGAAGATATTTGGAAGAGAAACATCGTGTCATGTGCCAACCTTTTAAAATTACAAAGAAGGAAGTGTAAAAGCGGGGAAACCAGGAAATGAGAACAAAGTTTTTAAGCAGGAGCAGAACTGTACTGAGTCTTAATGCTGATGTACTTTGGAGGCAATGGTACAAAACCAAACTGGTTTCCCTAAGAAAAGGCAGAGCTGGAAGAGATCTTGTTGTTGGCACATCTTCAGACAGATGACATGAGATGTTAGAAGTTAGAAAAAATATTTTTTTGCAAATAGAAAAAGGAGTATTTTATTTGCAGTCATTAGCATGAGGTAACATGTGAAGCATAAGATGGGAGAAATAGGACAACAACATGATTTTGGTTGTGTTTACTGTAGGTGCTAACTGAAACGTTAACTAGATGTGAGGTCAGGAATAGAAAAAAAAGTCATGCTCCTATTTGTTTCCTTAAATCTTGCCTTTTGCCTTCAGACAGTAACACAGAGAGACCTCTCTGTTCTTACATACAGTAGGAGAATGTGGATTATGAAGTACACTAGTGGTCTTGTCTCAGCCGAAACGCGTATGACCGGCAGTACAAAGAGCTGTAAGAGAAAGGAGAAGCATATAAACTTGGATAGTTCATAACCTTCTAGGATATCTACATTTTAGATGCATGCTAGTACACTTGGAATTGATTTGAAATTTAATTTGTACAGACACCAGAAACCCTGCCTGGACATACCAAAGCAAAACACCATTACAGAGAAGATGCAGAATGGCTTAAAGGTCAGCAAATTGGTCTCGGAGCTTTCTCTTCCTGTTACCAAGCTCAAGATGTAGGAACGGGGACATTAATGGCTGTAAAACAGGTGAATGCTTCATACTTAACCCTTCTGAATGTATTGTGCTTGTTTTTCAGTATTTCTTTGGAATATTAAATATAAAAACTTTCTGCTCTCACTGATGTATGTTGTTCCTTGCTTTCTCTGATCGTTGTGGTGTGTTTTGACATAATACATAAGTCTTTATGTGTGTTTATTAACATATTTGGCTTTTTCCACTTCTCCTTAAAATGAAAAAAACAACACTCTCTACACTTCTTTATATACTCATTTTCTCTCATAGTTCTTCAAATGCATGTTTAATTGATATAAGTGTAAGTGGCAGAATTAGGGATGGAGCCCAGATCTCCTGACTGCAAATAATGCACTGTTTGCAAGGTAGCTATTAGAAGTAGTTTCCCTGTACTTGTCAATGTTTATTTTGGTTTTTTGTTCCCTAAAACAGTTTAAACAGAGGAAATGAAGTTTAATGCCAGTGTCTTCTGATCCAACAGCCAACTTTGTGGCAATATTTTAATTGATATAGAAGTGTGCTTAAGAGGGCCAAATTTACATGCTTCACTTGAGATTTTTGAAGGTTCTAGATGTGAGTAAATCATGCGCACTTAAGGTGTCCTAGGTCTGAATTGGTGATATCAACATAGAGGAAATCTTAGTCCTAACACTTAGGGATTCTAGAATTAAATTCTATGGAATTGAGCAATTTCAAGATATTTAATCAGGGAATTAATATTTGTCATCAGCTAGTCTTCCTTTAAAACTCTTGCTTGTGAAAGAGTAGGACTTTCTATGTAGTCCTTGAGGACCCTCCTGGAGACATCATGACGATGATGATTCTGATGCCCAGGGAAATGCTATGCAGCATACCATTATTTCAGATTTAGTATGGATCAGAGCTGGGCTTGGCTTCAATTCTATTACAGACTTAGGATCTGCTTTCTTTCCTCATCCCCACCCCCCTCGCTGCCCCTGGTTGAATTTCTGGGTTAAGAGGTTTAGTTATGGAACAGATACTGTGGTTAAACTGATAAAAATCTTACAAATAACACTGTCAGAATTTCATCTGTCTTCCTTTTCTTCAACATCTGAAAAAAATAGGTTGTTTTTTTTCTAATTTAAGCAGAGGAGAGTGAAGAGGGAGATTTTTCCATTCCATACTTGGAGTGATTTTTAGTTCGTATTTCCCCAGATCACTCTTAATTTTCTATGACTGTCTCACATGGAGATATGTTCTCAGCTGAAGGGGTTTGAGATAAAAGAATATTTGCTGTTTCTAGGTGGTGGCAAGGAATTGAAAACTATCCATTCCTGTTACTGTGCTGAAAGGGAGGTTACAGGACTTGTTATTATGTAAACTAAGTTTGAATACCATATTTCAAAACAGGTGACATATGTCAGGAACACATCGTCTGAGCAAGAAGAGGTAGTTGAAGCACTAAGAGAAGAAATCAGGATGATGAGTCACCTGAACCATCCTAACATTATTCGCATGTTGGGTGCTACATGTGAGAAGAGCAACTACAATCTCTTTATTGAATGGATGGCAGGTAAACAACTACTATGCCAAAGAAAATAAAAGTAGCAGTGCAGTGTTAAACTGTGTAATTTTATACCGCATTTTGCATCACTTCAGTTTGCAAATTTGTGTTTTCATTGCTGTTGGTCTAACCAGTATAAGGTTTACTTCCAAAACAATTTAAGTGGTCATAGCAATATTCTTACTGGTGCAGTTTGAAGTCCTGAACAAAAACTTTGAGAGACAGGCGCTTCAGCTGGCACATCAGACTGGCGCATTTTCAGTGTACCTGTGTAATGTTTGGAATTTGGAAAAACAATAGGTTATAATACCTGTCACCAGTTTTTGTCAGAAGCATTTTAAAAAAAATTGGGAGTTGACATGCAAGGCTTTCGATACTGTCTCACATAACATCTTTGTAGGTAAATTCAAGAAATGTGGCATAGATGGGACTGTGAGGTGAATTGTCAACTGGCTCAGCAGCAGAGGCACAGA